TCAACGCGTCGGCTGAGCGGACCGTCGGAGGCTGTCCCTGAGACCCTTCCGACCCCTTCCTCCTCGGTCCCGGTCTATGGGAATGTCTCTCTTTATCCGTTTATTATATCTTTCTGATGTCTTTTTTATTTATTATTTATCTATTTTTTTATTTTTGAGATATTCGAGGAGATTCGGGAAGATTCGGTCGAAGGGGGACGAGTCTGAGGAATCGCGGAGGACCTTTTTCACTTATTTATTTGCATGCGGGAGGGACGTCGAGCGGCAGGTCCGGGACCCACGGGGAATTACTGTTATTACCGGGCTGATCACAATTCCTGACCGGTTTAATCTAACTGTTTCTCGGCTGGAAACTATTGCCTCATGCAAAGGGAACAGAAGTTATAGAACTCTGCGTTAAAAAGGCGACGCGGGTGAGTTAGAGCACGACCTCGCTCTTGCGACGGAAATGAGTTGTGAGCGAGAACTTAAAGAAAAAGAACTTCTCTTAAAGAACTTCTCTTAAGGAACTTCTCTTAAGGAACTTCTCTTCTCTTAAGGAACTTCTCTTAACTTCTCTTAAGGAACTTCTCTTAAGGAACTTCTCTTAAAACTTCTCTAAGAACTTCTCTTAAGGAACTTCTCTTAAGGAACTTGGCTTCTCTTAAGGAACTTCTCTTCTCTTAAGAACTGAACTTCTCTTAAAGAACTTCTCCTGGAACTTCTCTTAAAGAGAATGTGAATTTGTGTGTGTTGAGCGTATATTCGAAGCCTATCATACAAAAAAAAAGTTAATATAGAACCATACAAATTACAGAAAACAAAGAATTTCAAGATATGGCTACAGGTAAAAAAAGGGGGAAGGAAGGAGGCGATGGACAAATAAAGAAGGAATGAGGGAAATCTGGAACAATTTTAGCGAGGAACAAAATAAGGTCAAAGGGCATGGAGGAAAACACGTAGAAGGAGTAGGAGGAGGAAGCGGGGAGGAGGAGAAAGGGATAAAAAGCGGGAGGGAAGAAGTGAGTGGTCAGCGCGTGGTCGTGTCAGGAAGAGGAAGAGGGAGAGAAGGAGAAGAGGAATAGAAAAAACGAAGAGAAGGTCGAGAAGGACATGGAACAGACAGGAAAAGAAATAAAAGAGTCGAGAAGAAAACCCGATTAAGTAGGCAGAAGAATTGATAGACGTCGAGAAGGAGAACCGATGGAACAAGAAGAAAAGAAGAAATAGATGAAATTGAAGAAACAGAGGAGAAGGAACACGAAATGGAAGACCAGTGGCTCTGGAGTCGAGGTGCCAGGTTACAGTGCCACCGGGAGTCCAAGAAGGGGATTTGGCATGAGTCTCCCGTGGCACTCGGACCTCCTGCAGCTTGACCCGAAGAAGAGACAGGCACAAGAAGGGTTGCCTCGAAGGGCGTGCAGGGGGGGGGAGGGGTCGGGGGGGGGGGTAGGAGGGGTATGGGGGGGTAGAGGGTGGAAGCTGACCCGGGTGAGGGAGAGGAAGAGGAAGAAGAAAGAGAGGAAGAGGAGGGGTGGGAGGCGAGGAGGAGGAAGGGAGGGGGCAAAGGCACGACGGAAGAGGGGCTGACTCGAGGGCGAGTCGGGGAGAGCGGAGGGAGGGTGGGGTGGGGGGTCGAGGCCTAGCGCGAGGGCTGAGCCGAGGGTGAGGTGGACGAGGGTGGACCTACCTGAGTGATGGCTGGCTGATCCCTGGGGTGACGGCGTCGGCGGAGATGCCAGAGTCCGCGGGAGAGGGCAGGTCGACGGTGAGGGTGTTCGAGACCCCGTTGGCCTTATAAGCCGGGCGCGGGTAGCGGTCCGCGAAGCCCGTGTCCGCGGGACTGTATTCCTGGCGCACACTGTACTGGGTCTCGATCGGCGAGTAGTAGTCCCGGTAGTAGTTGTCCGAGACGGTGTGCACGGCGGAGGAGCCGCGCACCACGGGCGACGTGCTGGTGGTGTACGGCTGTGGCGAGGGGGACAGGTACGGCGACACGTGCTCGTACGACTGTGGCGAGGCGGCCGAGAAGCCCCCGATGTAGCTGCCCGTGCCGGCACTCATCTTGTCGGCCGAGTCCTGGGGCGCCTGGATGACGAGTGTGTGGTTGGCGCGAGGACGATCCCCCGACTCCACCTTGAGGCTGCTGTGTTCCAGCTCCTCCTTTATCACGTGGTGGTCAAGGTCGTCCTTGAGGGCGGGCGGGACGTCGAGCGCTGGCGGGGAGTCTCCGTCGGGCGGTGGCGGAGGCAGGAGCGATCGGCGTCTGTCGCACAGGACGCCGCGGTCGGCAGGACTGTTGGTTCGGCGGGTTAGGTCCTCCGGCTCCCGCTTGACGCTCTCCGTGCCGCCCACAAACAGGAGCCCTTCCACGGGCACCGCCCCCACCACGCCCTCGGACACCCCGTTTGTCATTTTGCAGTCCAATGCGCCGCCCACCACCGGGCTCCCAACCCCAGACCTGCAAACAAAAGGAGATAATGAGTATCGGTTGACCAATCAGCGGCGACAGGGGGCGGGGCTGAGTAAACTAGGGAGAGCCGCGAGAACCAATCGCAGCGCGGGATGAGGCGGAGGCGGAGCCATCCGAGCAGAAACTCCGCCCGGATGCTCTCGTCGGGGTCTTCATCCCCGTCTAGAAATGTTATTATTGATTTATTTACCAAAATGCAAAGAAAAACACTCGGCAATAGACGAAATGCATAAAGAACATCCAGACCAACCAACACAGGACCAGCCGGCTCCCGCCTTCGAACAAGGTGAGCCACGCGGCCTTCGCCACCCCGGGCCCCTCCCCCTGCCCTCCCTCCCTCCACCCCCTTCATCGCTCCACCTGCTATCGTTAACATGATCCGCCGCTCTCCTCTCTCCCTCTCCTCTGTCCTTCCCCTTCCTCCCTTTCCCCGCCTCCTGTCCTTCCCATCGCCCACCCTCCCTCGCATACGTGAAGTCCCATCTGCATGTCTCCCACGCTCCCCCTCCCCTCCCCCTGACCCTCCCCCACCCAAGCCATCGCGGAAGTGCTGCTAACTTGGTTTTTGCGAAGTCGAGACATCTTTGGCTGTCACGTCCTTACACGAGGGGAGGAGGGAGGGAGGGAGGAGGGAGGAGAGAGGGGGGGAAGGGAGGGGGTCCTGAGAAGGGGTAGGAGAGAGGGAACTGAGGGAGGAGAAGGGGTCCTAAGCAGAAGGAGAAAGGGTGGGGAAGGGAGGAAGAAAGATCGGGAGAAAGAGGGAGATGAAGAGAATAGATAAGAAACGAAAGAAGCAGACTAGAAAAAAAAGAGAAATAGAAGAAAAAAAGACCAAGGAAAGACACAAAGAATAAAGAAAGGGAGAATAGAAGAAACACCCCCCCCCCAAAAAAAAAAATCCCAAAATCCGACCTTGTAGACGGAAGAGATCGTGAAAAATCCCCCCTCCCTCCCTCCCCCCCCCCCCACCCCCCCATTTCTCTCCGATCGGCAGCCTATATCGACGAAGCAAAACCCGATGAACGTGAAGGAATTCCTACGTTGTCTCCTCAAGGAAAGGCTTTGATTAAGGATTTTCTAGGATGTTGAGTCTGATGAAAAGGAAGGAGAGGCGACGCTGGAGGCTTAGAATGCGACGGGGAGGAGGCTTCGAAGGAGCCGAAGGATGAATGAAGGAGAATAAGGAGGAGAGGAGGGGAAGGGAGAAAGGAAAAGAGAGAGAAAGGAGAGAAGAAGAGGGGAGAGGGAGGAAGAGAAGGGAAAGAGAGAAAGGGAGGAGAAGAAGGAGAGGGGAGGGAAGGGAGAAAGGAGAGAGAGAAAGGGAGAGAAAGGAAGAGAGGGAGGGAAGGAGGAAAGAAGAAAGAGAGAAAGGGGGAGGAGAAAGGAAGGAGAGGGGAGGGGAAGGGAGGAAAGGAGAAGAGAGAAAGGGGGAGGAGAAAGGAAGGAGAGGGAGGGAAGGAGAAAAGGAGAAAAGAGAAAGGGAGGAGAAAGAAGGAGAGATGATAGGATGAGGTGATGAAGATGAAAAGGGAGGTAGAGACGTGGAGGATAAATGAGAGGTGAGGAGCAGAAGAGGAAGAGGTTCATTTCGAAAAGGAAGAAAAAATTAGAAAGGAAAATGAAAAATGAAAGGTATATACATGAGTGACAAGAAAAGAAAAGAAAGGAAAAAATGAAAAAGAAGGTAAACACAATAAAAAAGAAACGCAAATAGAAGTATACAGAAGAAGAAGAAAACGAAGAGAGTGACAAGAAAAAGAAAAGAAAAGTGAAAAAGAAGGTAAACACAATAAAAAAAAGAAACGCCAAAGGAAGTATACAGAAGAAGAAGAAGAAGAAAAAAGACGAGAGAGATAGAAAGAGAGAAAAGCCATATCGACTCGAGCCCCATAGACCAAGCATAGGCCAGTATACCCGGTGGTCTCAGCAAGTGCCTCTATCTCAACAGATCGGACGCATAAGTAAACAGACACACACGCCCTTGCATCTGCCATGAAATCAGGGAAATGAGCTCTGAATGGTAGTTATGCAGATTCGTTTGATCATATTTCCATATAATTGACATTCATAGATTCCGGCGGTAGTGCAGGTAAAGTTGCAATCGTGGGTGTTATGTCTACTTTATGTTTAAGATATTATTGCATATGCAATTGCATCTTTCAAGCTTGAACATTCACTGCATTTGTGATTTAGCATATATTTTTACTATTTTCAATATCTTTATTCCTTGCAAATGCATCTTTCAATCTTGAACATTCATTCATTGCAGCATCTTTGTGATTTATTGCATATATTTTACTATTTTCAATATCTTTATTCCTTGCAAATGCATCTTTCAATCTTGAACATTCATTCACTGCAGCATCTTTGTGATTTATTGCATATATTTTACTATTTTCAATATCTTTATTCCTTGCAATTGCATCTTCATCTGAACATTGCAGCATCTTTGTGATTTATTGTATATATTTTACTATTTTCAATATCTTTATTCCTTGCAAATGCATCTTTCAATCTTGAACATTCCTTCACTGCAGCATCTTTGTGAATATAGCATCTCTGGTGATGCTGTTTTATCTCAACAAGATCGTTTTAGTTCAGCATCTCATACCACCATCACACTATGCTATTCTATCATAAAGATCTTATCAAAGTTGCTCTCCCTGATATCTTTATCATCACTCTCTTTATCACCTTCTCATAATATCACCATTTTATATGATGTCACTATCGCTAAAGATATCAGTTTATGTTAGTGTATTTATGATGATGTTGCTACTGTTACTGTACCAGTGATGTCATCTTATCATCACATTCATAGATCTAGATTATCCTGAGTCGTTAGTCACCATACTATCACTTGCACCATAACCTGGCTGGTATACTTGCACTGTTGTATAAGGCTTATCACTATCACCATGTTATAGCTAAATTACTGTTATTGTACCGTCATTGTTATATCACTCTCGTTGTCACTATACAATTATAATCACCATATTCACACGGTCAATATATATCAACCTTCACCATACCTCAGCCATCAGCATACCCTCTCACTCACTATACCCCACCATCACCATACAACTACCCCCTTCACCATACCCTCCCCATTACTATACCCCATCGTCGGTATACCCTCCCCTCACCATACCCCCCCACTCACCATACCATACCCCCTTCCCATACCCCAATACTATACCCCACCGTCAGAATACCCTCCCCCTTCACTCACTATACCCTACCCCCTTTACCATACCCCCACTATGAGCAACGAGCAATAGAGACCACACACACCACATTCCCTCCCCCTCCCCCCCCCCCCCCTCTCCCCTATCTCAAGCCCCCCCCTCCCCCCTTCTCCCTATCCTCAAGCCCCTCCACCCTTCTCCCCCTCCTCCCCCTTCCCCTCCCCCCTCCCCCTCAAGCCCCTTCCTCCTCCTCCCCCCTGAAGCCCCCCCCTCCCCTCAAGCCCCTTCCCCCTCCCCCTCCCCTTCTCAAACCCCTCCCCCTTCCCCCTCCTCCTGAAGCATCTCCCCCCTTCTCCCTATTCCTCAAGCATCTTCCCCCCTCTCCTCTCAAGCCCCTTCCCCCTCATCCCCCTCCCCTTCCCCCTCCCCTCCCCCCTCCCCCTCCCTTCCCAAGCCCCTCCCCCTCCCCTTCCACCCTCCTTCTCAAGCCTCTCCCCCTTCTCCCCCCCCTCCGCCCCTCCCTCCCCCTCCCCCCCTCTCCCCCTCCTACCCCTCCCCCCCTCTCGCCTCCGCCAACGTGACCCTTTCTTCCGACCCACGTAAAAGTCTCTAAACCCGTCGCGTCATCACCTCTAAGTTACGACACCAATTAGTCTCCGATAAGCGTATTAAAACCGCCGATAATATCTATCATAAACAATTCAATTTTTCTCTCTCTTTTTTTTTTTTTTTTTTTTTTTTTTTTTTTTTTTTTTTACTTGTTCGGCTTGACCTCTGACCTCGATTGGCGCTTATCCGAGATCCCGTGGAACACCTGGTTTTAATTTCCCCCACGAGGGTCGTGAATCGATATCGGAAGGGGAGGGGGGGGGGAGGGGAGGGTGGGAGGGGGAGGGGTAGAGGGGGTGGAGAGATATTTGATAATAATCGATAATCACAGTTATTTCGAGGGAGGGGGGGGAGGGAAGAGGGAGAGGGGAGAGAAGAGGAAGGGGAATAGAGGAGGAGAGGGAGGGAAGAGAAAGGGGAGAGAAGAAGAGAGAAGGAGAGGAAAGGAAGAGAAGGAGAAGAAAAGAGAGAGGGGTGAAGGGAGGAAAGGAGAAAGGTAAGAATGGGTGTGGGAGAGGGGAGAAGAGAAAAGAGAGAGAGGAAGACGAAGGAAGGCAGGAGGAGGGAATAAAGATAAGGAAAGAAGAGGGGTAAAGGAAGGCGAAATAGGAAGGAGAGAAGGGAGAAGGTGGTGAAGAGAGGAGGGAAAAGAAGAACAGAGGGAAGGAGGGGGAGAGAAGAGAAGGGAAAGAGAAGAAGAGGAAAGAAGAAGAGAGAAGGAAGAAGAATGATGAGGAAATGGGAGAACACGGAGGCGAAGGAGGGGAATAGGAAAGGGAAGCTAAACACAGAATAAGAGAGAGAAAGAAAAGAAGAGGGGAGATTAACACGTAAATTTGCGACAAGGAAGGTGGACCATAATACCATTTTTCCCTTCTCGTTTCTCTTTTTTTCCCTTTAAATTTCGTCTAGAATAATAGTTGTTCCATCTGAATTTATGACCCTTGAAAGTATCGTCCCAAGACATGCATCGGGGAACCTGACCTGACCTTTTCCGGCGGGATCTTGGGTGAAGTGACGTCTCCACGATCAGGACTGAGTCATGTCTGAACGTGTCTGAGCGTGTTTGAGATCACAGACCGCGGCCGAGGTTCACAAGAGCTTATTTTCATGAAGTTAGCATTTTTTTTGGATTTTATATACCTTTTCAATTTTATTATATTAATTTTCGACATAATTTTTA